AAGTCCTTGGGTCCCTGCACCCACATGGGAGACTGGGAGGAAGCACCTGGCTCCTGGCTTTGGATCGGCGCAGTGCTGGCCGTAGTGGCCATTAGGGGAGTGAACCAACGGAAGGAAGACCTTTATCTCTCTCTCCCTCATTGTCTATAACTCTCTCTGTGTCTCTCTCTCTCACTGTCTAACTCTGCCTGGCAAAAAAACAAAACAAAAACAACAACAACAAAACAAAAACAAAAACAAAAACAAAAACAAAACACATGTGGCTGTTCTTGGGCGAAGTGTCCCAAAACAGTTGATTAAATTTTGTAGTTGGTAGTACTGAATATTTTCTTTTTATTTATCTATTTTTTATTTTATTTAAAAGTCAGAGTTACACAAAGAGAGGAGAAGCAGAGAGAGAGAGAGAGAGAGAGAGAGAGAGAGAAAGAGAGAGAGAGGTCTTCCATCTGTTGGCTCACTCCCCAATTGACCACAATGGCCGGAACTGTGCAGATCCGAAGCCAGGAGTCAGGAGGTCCTTCCCAGTGTCCCATGTGGGTGTGGGGCCCAAGGACTTGGGCTATCCTCCACTGCTTTCCCAGGCCATAGCAGGGAGCTGGATTGGAAGTGGAGCAGCCGGGACTAGAACCGGTGCCTATGTGGGATGCTGGTGCTTCAGGCCAGGGCTTTACCCCACTGCGCCACAGCGCCGGCCCCGGTACCGAATATTTTCATGTTTTGCTAGTTTTTCATCTAAGTTGTTTTAACAGTTATTGAGAGGAGTGCCAAGGACTCCACTCTAATTGTGTCTGTTTCTCCTTGCTGTTCTACTTGCTGTCCTACATATTTTGAAACTGTGTTGTTTGGGTATATGTATTTAGGATTATTATATGTTCTTGGAGTATTTATCCTTTTATTATTACTAGTGTTTTTTCTCTGATAATTTTTAAAAATTTTTTTAAATTAAGTGTTTGTTTATTATAAAGTCAGGGTAACAGAGAAAGATCTTCCATCTGCTGGTTCACTCCCCACAGTGCTGCAATAACCAGGACTGACCCAGACTGAAGCCAGGAATCAGGAACTCCATCTGGATCTCCCACATGGCTAGCAGGAACTCAAGCACTTGGGCCATCATCTGGAGCCTTCCAGGTGCATTAGCAGGGAACTGGATTGGAAGCAGAGTAGCCGGGACTTGAACTGCCATTCCAATCTAGGATGTGGGTGTCCCAAGTAGCAGCTTAACCTGCTGTGCAGCAATACCCACCCCTTTCTTTACTCTCAGGTCTACTTTATCTAATATTTATGTGGCCATTCCTGCTTTCTTTTGATTAATTTTTAAATTCTTTTTACATCCTTTTACTCTCAACTTACCTGTATCATTGTATTTGAAGTTAATTTCTTTTAGAAAACATATAAATGGATCATACTTTTTAAAAATTAATCTGTGTTGGATCTGGCATTGTGGTATGGTGGGAAAGCTGCCACTTGCGATGCCAATATCCTGGCTGCTCCACTTCTGATCCAGTCCCTGTTAATGGCCTGGGAAAAGCCATGAAAGATGGCCCAAGTGTTTGGGTCCTGCTACCCACGTGGGAGACACAGATGAAGCTGCTGGCTCTGGCTCTGGCTTGGCCCAGCCCTTGCCACTGTGGCCATCTGAGGAGTGAACTAGTGGATGGAAGGTCAATCTTTATCTCTCACTTTCTCTATGTAATTCTGACTTTCAAATATAAAAATAAATCAACTTTAAAATTAATCATTTAAAAAAGCCAGTATATTTAAACCAATTGCATTTAATGAAATTAGTTATGTGTTAGGGATTACTTCTGCAATTTTATGTTTCACCTCTTTCTTTTTAAAATTGTTTTTCTTTTCTTTATGGATTTCTTGAACATTTTAAAGAATTCCATTTGATTTATATGGTGATTTTTAGTGTATCTTCATGTAGATATTTTAGTTTTCTCTAATTTATCAAAATTGCTGATGTCAGTTAACTTGAGTGATGTCAAAATCTTTCCTTTATATCTGTCACCCTTACACACTTAGAACAGAATTGTCTCAATATTTCCTCTCTGTTGAGAACTACATCAGACATCGTTAGAATTTTGCTACATATTAAATATAATTTTAAAAACTCAAAAGAAGGAAAACTTATTGTATTTATCCATGTTTTTACTCTTTTCCATTTCTCTTCCCTCCTTCAAATATTCTAAGATCCTATCTTTAATTATTTCACCAACGTTTAGATCTTTTTCTTTAGCCCAGACACTAGAAGGAGTGGGAAGTCTGAAGAGGCAAGGGGAACTGGCAACGCTACGGCCAAGGTGGGACCAGTCACTGCCAGGACAACTGTGCTCCAGAGCCGGGAAGGAGTGGAGAGGAAGCCCATGGCCTCTTCTCTCCCAGCCTTCTGATCCCCTGCTGGTGCCGTCCACCCACTGAGGTCAACTAGCCACCACATGGAAAGTCTGACCACAGGATGTAACCCTTAGCTCAGCCTTGGGGGTACAAAGCAGGGCCAACAGGGACTGAAAATAATCCCAGCCCAGCAAATTAAGGATAACCAGCAAATTCCTTGTGATCACATGGGAAATCTACCACTGACGCTGGTAGACAGATGAGCAGAGTTAGAAATAACTGTGTTGACATGGATAAAAACTGAATTAATCTTGAAGACTGCCTTATTTCTGGATTTTCTCTTATGAAATATAATAAATGTATTTAACATATGAGCCATTCTCAGTATTTTTGTTACGTGAGGGTGACAGCATCCCATCCAATATCAGAACCTGTTACCTGTTGCTTGGTGCACATGTTTATGGAACCCATTCTTTCCTTGAATTTCTTTACTCTTCTGTCTCCATAAACCACAAGTATGTCTGTTGTATGAAGCATCTTTTACTAAAATTTCCAGGCTTACATGGAAGGCTCACATACTACAATGAAATGTAAAACACAAAAATGGAAGTTGCACGTTAGATTTTTTTGGTTGAAGTTATTTCAGGTTTTTCACTGACCACTTCTCTGAGCCATGGAGTCCTGGGGCAGCACACTCACAAATGCCTGCCATGACTTCTACATCATTAAGTCCCTATTCTCCTCATAAGGAAAAAATTTTATGAATGAATACAACAAATCGTCATCCCCAGTCCTATGCTGCCCTGAATGCAGCAGGGGGAATTACGGACAGCGCAAGATCTAGGAAGGCTGGGCTGCCCGGAAGCCGCTGGCAGAAGTCCAAACCAGAACCCTAGTGGATGAGGTTTCAGCCAATCAGGGAAGGGTCCTAGGCTGACGCGGTTGTTGCTAGTTGAATAGTCTGGGTCCAGAGGCCCTCGACGTTGGGAAATCCCCAGAGCTGACGCCGCCTCGCAGCCATAGCTTCCTAGCTCCAGAGTAGAACCCAGGGAACTTTTTGCTTTGGACAGGAGGAAGGGGGCGGGACGGGAGGCCTCGGTTTATGCTGAACGACTCTGAGATGGGAGCTGGGACGCTGGGAGCACCTTCAGTGCGTCTCTCCGACCATTCTCCCTTGCCCCAATCCCAATTCCAGGGCTGAGTTTGATGGTCCTTCTTAATGCTCCCACGGCACCTGTGGAGACTGTCATGCCGGGGTTGCGCTGATCGTGAGAACACCACTGCTGGTCTTAGGTGCTGCAGAACCATGCAGCTCATATAGAGTATTGAAGAACTTAATAAATATGCCACTAAAGAAAGCTTATTGATGCCTCTTCTCTATTTCTTTTACTCGGTGAACTTCTTATCTCTGCTTTTATATCCTGTCCTATATTAAAAAAATATAAACTGGTGGGTGAGACAGGGAGGGAAAGAGGAGGGGAAAGATAGGTATTGTCTTATTTAGGATCACTATTACTGCTTAGCAGCCGTTGTTCTAATTGTTTTATAACCATTTAGTACTGCCTTTAGATATACACAGGAGGGACATTACAAATTACAAAGTCATTAAAATAAGTAAGGATGCTTCTGCCATCGGGACTTTGTATTTAGAGCTGGCACAGTAAAATCTACAACTCTGCATATCTGATCACTCATTAACATCATCAAGGCCCCAGGAAATGCTTCTCATGTATTTTGCTCTCTGTTCTTGTAACTAGAGGCAATCGTATCCACTTGCTGAGAAGGTATGTGGATGTGCCTTTGCTGACATCAGATGGAGAAGTTTCATGGTTCAAGAGGGAGTTAAGCAGGTGAAGAGATTATAAGAGAAAAATAAACTAAACATTTTACATACTTCCAACCGCAGAGAATACATGTCATAGATTCCTGCATAGGAGGATCCCTTGCTAGCAGAGTTGGCTAATCTTCCTGTCTCACACATTGCCCTGGTATTTCTAGCCATTATGCAGGACAGCAGAGAAATTGCAATATTAAACAATTCATATTACTCTTGTATTTGTGTAGGTGAAGATTCAAATCCAAATGCATGAATCACAGTCCATATTTTACAAAAGGAAGCCTCAGGCAAAAAGAAATTCAGTCTTTGTTGACTCATAAAGCACATTAGTGGTGGAACTGCTGTGGCTGTGCTGGGCTGAAGCCGGGGAGCTGGGAACCCAATCCAGGTATCCCACACGGGTCGCAAGAGCCATTGCTGCTGCCTCCCAGGGTCGGCATTAGTAGGAAGCTGGGCTGGGAACCGAGCCTGAGTAATCCAGTGTGGGACACGAACGTCCCAACCTGCAGCATGCCCTCCCTGCCACGGCCCACCAGAGGTTCAAACAAGATGTCCACTCTTGAATTGCTTTTGATTTTCGGTTCTTTAAACCACTAAGACATTCAGTCTTCAGATCTAGACAGACATCTTCTGTAGTTTGATCCAACAGGCATTAAATGTTCACCCAGTGCAATTTGGTGAAGGCAGTGCCAGGCGTTGGATAGAGAACCTTCAGAACAAATGTCTGCCCAGAGACAGATGACGACCTGAAGCTCCAGCGCTGATTGGCTCTGTTCCTGGGGATCCTCCAATCCCAACATGCCTGGAAGCTTTCTCAGGTTTTTATTCTCCCAGGTGGGCACATCAGATCTATTTGGGGCAAGCTTTGCTGACTGCCATTCGCTTCTTCCCTTGTTCTCAAGTATGTCTCGGGGGATGGCGCTGCTGCTTCCCAGAAGCCTTCGTAGAGCAGCTGTGCTGGCGATCCTGGTGGTGCTGAGCTCCCCTGCGGCAGAGGGCCACGACTCCCCAAGTAAGCGCAGGGCGGCTGCTACCCAGGGCCCCCACTCAGGGAACCCTCCTTGGGCTGGGGTGTGGGGAACGGTGATCTCCATGAGCTTAGAATACAGCGCTCTATCACCAGCTAATTTCCTCTTTTCCAGACAGCCTGGTGTCCGCCTTCTGATCGTAAGATGAGCACAGGTGGTCTCCTTCCCATGGGCTCAAGCCTGCGGATGTTACACTAAGAGGGAGGGGATCACATGCATAGCCTTTATTATTTTCGAAGACAGGATTTTTTCCAGAGTAACACAGGTTTGTTACTTCAGGATCCCCCAAGGCTTTATCTTTGCTAAATAGCAGGGATTTATTTTGTGATTCTGGGTTGGGGAAACAAGGCAGCAATAGCCTCTGGTTTCTGAGGACAAGGAGTCTATATTCCTGATCTGAGTGAAAAGTTCATGGAGGCAAACACTTGGCTGCTAACTGAAGCCAAGCGCTGACCACAGATAGGGAGTCTTACCTTCAGGTCCCACTGGCTTAGGGGCAAATGATAACTTGACCGAGAGTCAGAGGCATGAGTTGATGGTGGGCTGAACTCAGGGAAAAAGGAGTATGCAAAGAACAGGAGAATTAAAGAACAATGTGTATTGAGAAACCACTCATTGCTAACCATTCTCTCAATTCTGTTTTTATTGAATAAATTAGAGAGAGATGGAGAGAGTGAGACATTGCGGACACAGGATTAATATCTTTATATAAATTCTCTCAACCTTCCAACATGCCTAGGTGCAGGTATTGTGACATTTAAAAAATTATGTATTTATTTGAAAGGGAGAGAGAGAGAGAGAGAGAGAGAGAGAAAGAATCTTCTACTTGCTGTTTCACTTCCCAGGTGGCTACAATGTCCAGGGCTGTGGCAAGAGCTGCTTCCCCGCCTCTCACATGGGTGGCAGGAGCCCAAGAACTTAGGCTGTTCTTGCTGCTTTCCCAGGCACATTAGCAGGGAGCTGAATCAGAAGCAGAGCAGCCAAGACTCTAACAGGCACTTATATGGGATACTGGCACTGCAGTCATGGGCTTAACCCCCATGGCAGAGCGCCACCTTTGTGACTTTGTTTTTACACAATTATACCCATAGCCAGTTCTAAGAACCCTGTTCTTCCCACCACAACACGAGGCTCCTCTGCATCTAAGATAATAGATAAAAACACACTCTGTTATAACAATTTAGATGGTATTAGGTAGTTTGCCCAAGCTGGTAATTGACGCAGTTCAACTGGAATCTATCTAAAGTCAAAGCTTGTGCTCCTCTCATGAATAGGAAATTCTATAATTCTATTGTAGGACTCCGAGGTGTCTCCACCCCCCACCCCACCCCCCAGAGCAAGCCCGGACAAGGTGGGAAGCAGGGCGCTTGCGCAGAGGTCCGGGGACCACGCTTGTCAGGACAGGCTTGGAGTCCGCTCACTTTATACCTCATGTGCTGTTCGCCCGAGCTCCCGTGTTATGCGGGTACCTGTCTCTGAGGTTCCCTGGAATTCACGGAGTGAGGCTTCCGGAGGGACCGCCCCACCCCTCCAAGTACGGCCTGCTGGAGCAACCCACCGCCGCCGATTCCGGCCGATTCGCGGGCTCCGGTAGGGGCCGCCGCTCTCAGCGCCCCGCCTTTCCGGCCGCCCCTCGGGTGAGGCGGATCCCGGAAGCCCTCGGAGGAGCGGGAGGAGCCGACTGGGCGACCCGGGTTCGGGAGGCGCGGGGCTGGGTTGTGGGAGTCGGAGGAGAAGCGGCGGGTTCCGGGCTACTCTGACTCAACGCCGGCCCCGCACAGCGACTGCCGCAAGGGGCGGTGCGGCTGAGCCGGGCCGGGGCCTGACTGCCGCGCGTTGATGCCCCGCAGAGGATTTCGTGGTCCAGTTTAAGTGTCAGTGCTACTTCACCAACGGGACGCAGCGGGTGCAGTACGTGACCAGATACATCTACAACCTGGAGGAGCACCTGCGCTTCGACAGCGACGTGGGCGAGTACCGGGCGGTGACCGAGCTGGGCCGGCCGGAGGCCAAGTCCTGGAACAGCCAGCCGGACATCCTGGAGCGGACGCGCGCCGAGGTAGACACGGTCTGCAGACACAACTACCAGGCAGAGCTCCTCACCTCCTTACAGCGGCGAGGTGAGTGCGGCCCCTCCGCCGCCGGCCGGGTCTCCCTGCTCGGGGAGAGGCCGGCCTCTGGGACGCGAGCCCCTCTGTGCGGAGGGGACGGGCGGCGACCCAGGGGAGGGCGGGGGCCGGACCCCAGCAGTCCTTGGACGTTCCCTAAGGAGGCCGGGGCGGCTGTCCTGTGTGGCCCCGCCTCGTGGCCTCCTGGTCTGTCTGGTCCTTTGGTTTTCTCAGGTCCGTTTGCCTCCTTCCTTACCTGTGCGCTGTGGGGCCCCAGCCCCTGCCTCTGCTTCCTGTAGCCATTAAAGCAGGGCCCAGGGCCCATCTGCTGAGCTCAGGCCACTGAGACGCCCAGCAGGCTGGACCTAGGTCTGCTCTGCCGCCGCTCACCAGGCACCTTGCACATAATGTAGTAAGCACACTGTAGTCGTATTTTGACCTTTGGTTTCAAACCATCCTCTCCTCTCCTCTCCTCTCCACTCCTCTACTCTCCTCTCCTCTCTCTCCTCTCTCTCCTCTCCTCTCCTCTCCCCTCCCCTCCCCTCCCCTCCCCTCCCCTCCCCTCCCCTCCTTCTCCCTCTCCTCCGACCCTTCTCCTCCCCCGCCCCTCCCTTTCCCCTCCCCCGCGCCTCCCTTTCCCCTCCCCCTTCTTTCGCTCCTCTCCCCTTCCCCCTTCCCCCCTCCCCTTCCGCCTTCCCCGCCCCTCCCCATTCTCCTCCTCTCACTCTCCCCCTCCCCGCCCCTCTCTCCTCCTCTCCCCTCCCTTCTCTCTTCCCCTCCCCCCTCTATTCTCCCGTTCTCTGTCTCCTTTCAAAGAAAGAGAGTAAGCCAGAGAGCAAGAGAGGGAGAAAGCGTGCACTTTTGTATCTGGTTCACTCACCTCTAAATTCTTGCAACAACAGAGGCTGGACCAGACCAAAGCCTTTGGTGTCTTCCATGTGGGTTGCAGGGACACGTGTGCTTGAGTTAGCATCTACTCCCTCCCAGAGTGCACATTTGTAGGAGGCTGGAGTGTGCTGGCAAGTAGAGCTGGGACTGGAACCCAGGCATGACGTATGGGATGCGGGCATCCCTAGCCAGGGCTTAACTGCTGCACCAAACACCTACCCCAGTTCTGTTTTCTGAAGTAGCAGTCACAAGACCTAGAGCTCTCCGAGGGGAGGACTGTCACCCTGGATTGTAGGTAGGGTGAACTCCAGAAACCATTGTTCTTGGCTACCAGTTAGGCTCAAGAGAAACTAGAGGGTAAATAGAGCCTTAAAAATGGACTTAACTAATTGTTCATTACTATTTTACTTAGTGCTTCAAAATAAACCCTTATTGATTTGGATCTTAGTAGTTTAGAATTTGTGAATGCAAAGTCCTAGGATTAAAGTGTTTGCTAAAAATAAAAAAAGCAGTCAATGGTGTTGTAAGGAAGAGTTAAATTTTTTTTTTTAATTGCAAAGAGTTGCCTAATTCAGAGAGCAGGAGTTTCAATAGATAAATTTAATCCACTGAAGTATTGAATGAAAATTGTCTCAGGCTTCTTTTGGTGTAGACCTGACTCCCATTCCCTGGCTGTGCTCCCTCCACCCCCTTGTATCACCACATCCCTCAGGGGTAGATGTTCTGAAAGATAATTATTCTCACTTAATGAGCACCTGTAGGCAATTGCCTTACCAAATACCATCTACATTATGCCATCTGTTCTCACAGCTATCTTGCAGTTTGGGATTAGCATCATCATCTTACATGAGGTAATATTGGTACATGGTAGACACTCTACTAGTTACCTTACAGTTACTCACCAGGTCCTGAAGCCTCCCCCAAATACCAGACAGTTCTCATGCATATAAGAATCTAACTGAAGCAAAACCTCCTGAAGCTGGCTGGGTAGGATCAGAAGCAGCAGTATGAATCTATTCCTGCCTATTTTCAATGTTAGTGGGATAGAAATGATCCTTCAAGGATTGAAAATTCATGATTAATCCCTAGCATGACTCCAGTTTTATCTTACCTTATACTCTTTTGCCTACTTCTAGCCCACATCCTAATGCAACCAATTACTTTTATTTTTGCTATTTAATTCTTTTTCATGAAAAAAATTATGCTTTCTATATTTAGTCCCAGTCTGTGTAAGATGAACAAATTTTATGAGTACATATAGCCAGCCATGATTTCAGTGAGACTGTAGGAAGGAGAACCTGAACATGAGTTAAAAAATCCAAGCTGAAAACATGATGCCTTCCAGATGACGCTCATGAGTACCATTTAATTGGGTGCAGGGACTACCTGGGGATCTCGGCAAATCTCAGTTATATTTATGTGCTCACATCACGTTCACATGAACTCAAACCAACTTCTGTAAGAATCTCAGAATATTTTTTAAAGAGAACATATGTAATAAGTCTGATTTCAGAACAAGGAAGGAAGGGATTAATAGCAAGAGAATGGAGTAAACAACTAGTAATTAAACTTACTTGAATATTAAGAGGGGAAAAAAAGAAAATGAGAGAACACTAAATAAATAAAAAAACACCCATTAGTAATAGTAATGATAGCAATTAGTATTACTAGTCTGTAGCAGATTCTAATTTTGCATCAGGAGAATACGAAAGTACAATTAAATAATCTGAGAAGTAAGGGGCAAGACGTATAAAATGGGCAGGGAAATGTGTGTCATATTTGATCATAAGTGGCAGTTGGAAAAAATAAAGGAATAGAGGCATGGGCAAGCATGATTTTTTTTTAAAGTTGTCACCTGATGTCTTTTTTTTTTTTTAAACTTTTATTTAATGAATATACATTTCCAAAGTACAGCTTATGGATTACAATGGCTCCCCCCCCCATAACTTCCCTCCCACCCAAACCCTCCCCTCTCCCGCTCCCTTTCCTCTTCCATTCACATCAAGATTCATTTTCAATTCTCTTTATATACAGAAGATCTATTTAGTATATATTAAGTAAAGATTTCATCAGTTTGCACCCACACAGAAACACAAAGTGAAAAATACTGTTTGAGTACTAGTTATAGCATTAAATCACAATGTACAGCACATTAAGGACAGAGATCCCACATGAGGAGTAAGTGCACAGTGACTCCTGTTGTTGACTTAACAAATTGACACTCTTGTTTATGGCCTCAGTAATCACCCTAGGCTCTTGTCATGAGTTGCCAAGGCTATGGAAGCCTTTTGAGTTCACTGACTCTGATCATATTTAGACAAGGTCATAGTCAAAGTGGAAGTTCTCTCCTCCCTTCAGAGAAAGGTAATAGCTTTTTTTTTTTTTTTAAATAAAAAGCTTTTATTTAATAAATATAAATTTCATAAGTACAACTTTTGGATTATAGCAGTTCTTCCCCCCATACCCATTCCACCCCCAAACCATCCCACTTCCTACTCCCTCTCCCATCCCATTCTTCATTATGATTCATTTTTCATTATCTTTATATACAGATCAACTCAATACTAAGTAAAGATCTCAACAGTTTGCACCCACACAGATACACAAAGTATAAAGTATTATTTAAAGACTAGTTTTACCATTAATTTTCATAGAACAACACATTAAGGACAGAGGTCCTACATGGGGAGCAAGTGCACAGTGACTCCTGTTGTTGATTTAACAATTGACACTCTTATTTGTGACATCAGTGATCACCTGAGGCTCCTGTCAGGAGCTGCCAGGCTATGGAAGCCTCTTGAGTTCACAAACTCTGACATTTTTTAGACAAAGCCATAATCAAAGTGGAAGTTCTCTCCTCCCTTCAGAAAAAGGTACCTCCTTCTTTGATGGCCCCTCAGAGGCCAGAGTGCTATTTAGGGCATTTGTCATTCTATGAGTCTGCTGTGTGGTCAAGCATGATGTTTTATTGATATTGTCTTTTTCCTTAAAGGCTTCTTTACCTTTCTTTCCAAGCACATAAACGTATGAAATAACATACTCATTTGTTTGGCTCTGTATACAGGTTACAAATTTTATGAAGACAAGGCCATGGTCTGTCATTTATCTGTGGATCCACAGTGCTTGTCAAATTTATATTTGTTGTATGAATAAAATAAAGTATAGGTAGTGTATATGATGTGGAGATTGAAGTTTATGTATTCAGTACTATACATTTGTATGTGTGTGTGTCAGGGTTCTTCATAGAAAGAATGGCATTTGAGCCAAGGTTAGGATAAAAGCTGAGAGGGATGGATGCTGTGTTGACTGACAGCATGTAGGAAGTGCTTTTGTTATGCAATTCTGTGAGTATTACAGGTTGAGAATTATGGAATACAGCCTGATGGAGGAGCAAGCATGTAGGAATGATGTGATGGTCACTGTTATCAGGTCATTTCTCAGCCTATGTTATTGTTCACTGGACTGAGATTTATGTTGATTGTTTCACATTAGCAGGCAAAAGTCATAGCTGTTGTGTTTTCTGTACTGTGGTGAGCACTGGTACTGACAGAAAGCAGTATCACTGTCTAGAGTGATGACCTTCAATTTCAATAGGAGTAGGGGAACAAGATTTACTATTGTTAATATTTTTGTGAAGGCCTACATAATGTATTGATTTATAGTTTTAAAAGGCTTCAATATTTGCAAATAGTAACTCCCACAGGATGGTGTTTATTGTCCCTTATTTCTCTGAAAAGTAAATGGACTAATACATGTCCTCAAGCTAATAAGAAACAATGCTCACATTCTAATTCACAACTTGGAATCCAGGAATCTGTTTAGTTTGTCAAGGGGTGACTCCTTCCCCATTGGGAGACTTGCCATGTACTTTCACGTCTCACTTACTCTGTCTTTTCCTGTCTGTTACTGCCCCCAGAGAAGCCTATGGTGACCATCTCCCCGTCGAAGAGAGAGGTTCTGGACCACCACAACATGCTGGTCTGCTCAGTGACAGATTTCTACCCCAGCCAGATCAAAGTTCGCTGGTTTCGGAATGACCAGGAGGAGACAGCTGGCGTTGTGTCCACCCCTCTTATTAGGAATGGGGACTGGACCTTCCAGATTCTGGTGATGCTGGAAATGACTCCCCAGCGAGGAGATGTCTACACCTGCCAAGTGGAGCACCCCAGCGTCGAGAGCCCCATCACGGTGGAGTGGCGTAAGGGCAGATCGTTTTCTTTCACTGTTGGTCCCACAAGACAGAGGGTGGAGCTCCCTATGCCCCATCCTATCCATTATCCCTGGGTGGCTACTGAGCTGGGAATCACAGGAGACTGGTGCATCTCTTGTCCCATGGTGGAAACATTGGAAGATTTCTGATCTCACTATCTTCCCAGATGGAGGGAGGCCACACTACACATGGTAGGCCAGAAAGCCAGCCCTGATGGCCCTGTGGGACTATGTAGGTTGTGGATGTGTCCCTGAGGAACGGGGTGCTTCCCCCTCTCCCTTGCCTACCTCCCATGGCCAGAGGATCTGTTGGCTGGTCCTCCCCTGTGAGAGATGTTCGGAATGCGGAACTAGACTCCCCTGGTGCCTTCTACCTTCTGTACTTTAGATTAGACTTCAGTCCTCAGCCAGGGACACTGTGTGATGTGGAATAAACGCTGACACTCTGTTTCTCCCCAGGGGTGCAGTCTGAATCTGCCCAGAGCAAGATGCTGAGTGGCGTCGGGGGCTTCGTGCTGGGGCTGATCTTCCTCGGGCTGGGCCTTATCATCCATCACAGGAGTCAGAAAGGTGAGGAGCTCTGGGGGGAAGTGGGGAAGATGGGCTGTGTCTGAGACCCTCTGTTCCTGAGGCTCTGCCTCTACAGATTGCTTCCTTTCCCCTGACCCTGAAAGGAAGGATCTGGGCTGGAGGAGGTGGGGCAGCCTAGGGGGAGACTTCAGAATCTGATTTTCTGGTTGAAAGGCAGCCCTGCCACAGAGCTGGCAGAGTTTATCCTAAGACTTCCTTACAGTCATCCTTGTCTCACTGGATACCTTCCAAAAGCTTCCTCCATTAAGGTCATCAGCGTTTCTTTTTCCTACTGACAGTTTCATATGTCTTGGAAGATTTTAGGTTAGGGCACTGAAGGCATTTGGAACATGAGTAGGGAGAAAATATAACCCTCCAGTAAAGTTGCGTTTTTCTTTGGGGTAAGAATGGTGGTTTGTATAATGAGATTGTTCTCTATATAATTTTCTTTTGTAGGATCTCGTGGGTCTCCACCAACAGGTAATATTTCATCTCTGGGTGGCAGGGGGACAGGTATAAGAGGAAAGGGAATAAGGTGGGTATACCTGGGCACAGTGGTCTCCATTCATAGCCTATTCTCTCCTGTGGGGATCAAGAGTTAGGAGAGAAATTTGCAAGTTTCTGTAAAAAGCTCCAGACTGTTTCCCAGAGTCAAATCATAACTTTCTGGACTCTTCCTGTGAAACCTGAGTCAAAGCCACATCTTAGGTGTCAGACACAGAATGATGCCCACGTATTGGTTGCTACTGTCTAGACTTTCGTAAGTGACTCCATTGGTGGTGATGAGGTATCATTAGAAGGTGAGTTATGTAATTCAGTCAAAAGATTAAACCCTTTATTTTCCCTGGAAAAGTAACAGCTGTCTCACCTCTGATACACCTGCATCACCTGAAGTTCCATGTCCTCTTTAGCTGATTGCAGCTTCACATAGATACTGGGAGAGGTGATGATGATATGCCCTGGGTCTCAGCTTTCTCTGTCTGATCCTGCAGGGGGAGCTGTGGAGGGAGGGGAGGGAATGTCCTTCAGGGGCTGTGTGCTCATCACTCCCCCTTCTCTTCAACAGGGCTCCTGCACTGACTCCTGAGGACATTTTAACCCAGGATTGGTTATTGCTTCTGTAATGCCTGCCTTCCTGTCCTTGCCTGGAACTCCCTACTGCCTCAGTTAACCTGTGCCTCTCTGAAATCAGAGTCCTACAGACCCGGTTGCAGCTGCCAGCTCACCTCCTCTGACCCTGAAGTCTCTGCCTGTGTGCTCCCAGCTGTCTACTCAGACCCCAGGGGTTTCTCTGTTTCCATTCCCCACTCCCACAGATTGCTCAAGAGAAGTACATCAAAACCATTTTCCTGAACTTGGAATTTTTTTCATAATTAAATGTGATTATGAGTTACTTGTACCCTAAGCCTCTTAATTGGGTGGAAGCAGGAGACTGGTACAGAATGAAGGAACAGATTTTGAGGTGCCAAGCCAACCTGTGGCCAGAGGAGGAGTTATTTCTTGAAAGGACAAGAGAAGCATCATGGGGTGCCATGTGGAGGGGGCAGAGGCAATAGAAACTCATTCAGTTGCCACACCCTTCACATTCTTAATATGATGCTCAGTGGAACAATCTTAGGATATCCCAGTCCCTTACAGTCTGATGACTTGTGTATGTAAGCATGCATTACTTGTGTGCATACATAAATGGCACCTGGTGGCACAGAGAACCAAAATATTTCAAGTGTAACCTGGAAAGTTACACTGAGACCTTTTTAATTTTAGAAGGTAGAACCAGCAATAAAAACACTATATTCTTGCTTTCAAACAATAGAAAGCCAACTCAATCTTATTTTGTTAAAAAAAAACAACAACAACAACAAAAAAAAACAGGAAGTCTGGGTTTAAGCTGGTTTCAGCAGTAAATACATTGAGACATTTATATTCATCTCTCCTTTCTCTTCCTGTTTCTCTCCCTGGACCTTTTTCTCATTCTCTGCCTTTTTTATCCCTCCATATTTCTTTCAGTGTCTCTCTCTGCATATTTTTATGTCTGTCTGTCTCTCTGTCTCCCTTGCTGTGTCTCTGGCTTTCACTACATTGCTGCCTCTGTATGTGTCTCTGTTTCTGTTGGTGCCTTTGCCACTATCTGTAGCCCTCTTTCTATTTCATTTTGAAAGTCTAATTTCTGCATTTCTCTTTCTGATCACCTCACATCTCATCTCTATTTCTGTGTATGTGTCTGTCTCTGGTGTGTGTTTCCATTGTGTCTATCAGCATGTTGAGAAAGATTCTGATAGGCTAATCCTGGGTCACATGAACACCTCTTAATGCCATTCTGTAGATGCATGTAGACATCCACCCCCTTACTAGGAGTGGGGCTGAAATTTCCTGAACCTGGGGATGCAGGAAAGTACCTCCAGCATAAAGATGTCTATGTGTGCCACTCAGAGCACCTCAGCCTCAGAACCCCACCACCGTGGAGTGGTGGGAAGGGGTTTGTCTCTTTGCATCACGGACTTCACAAGACAAACAGCAGAGCTTTCTCTGGTTCTGGGATCCCTCAGTGGGGCACCTGTTTATACTCATCCTGCCCCTCGACTCTTGCACAGTCACCTGACTGTACTATCGATCCGGAATAGGGACTAGAGCTTTCTTTCTGTGGACTTAGGGACCTGTTGATTACTGAAGACATCCTCTTCCCTGGGCTAGAGAGGACACACTGAGGGTCCAGCACTGAAAGCTGGTCTCCTCAGCCTCTGCTTCACCATCAGGATAAGTGGCTGTGAGCCTCGCTGAGGTTATGGAAGGCCATGCCCAGGAGGAGCAGAAATTGCCCTCTCTGTTCTCTCGAGTTAGTCGTCCCGTGGGCCGAGGAGACTGCAGGTCTTTCCAGTTCTTGGACAAAGTTAACGAACTAGATTGCCTTGGACTCTTCATCTCCTGTATTCTAGGCTGTAATGCTGGTCATCAGATGGGGTGGGTATGGGACAGACACTGATACTCGAGCTTCTGCTCCCTGGGGTTGTAGGATGAACTTGCCCAGAGCAAGATCCTGAGTAAGAAGTTTTGTCATCTTTTCAGGGTGAGCCTTGTCATTTACCATAAGGGCCAGTAGGGAGTGATACTCTTAGGAAAATGGGAAGGATTTGTGCTGGGTCATCCATGGAGACTCTGGTCTCTATATGTAGCTCTCTGCTTCTTTTTAAAAATAAATTATTTTAGTTATTTGAGAGAAAGACAGAGATCTTCCATTTTTTGGTTCTCTCCCCAAATGCCCATAACAGTAGGGGCTGGGCTAGGCTGAAGCCAGGACTGAGAACTCCATATAGCTCTCCCACATGAGTGACAGAGACCCAAGTACTTGAGTCACCACCTATGCCTCCAAGGGTGTACATTAATAGGAACTTGGAATTTGGAGAAGAGCTGGGACTTGAACCCAGGCCTTCTAATGTGGGATACATATATTTTAACTATAGCACCAAATATTTGGCCCATCTCTTTGCTTTTGTTCTTGAAAAGAAGGGGGCAGGGTTCAGGGTTAAAGTAGACTTAGAGTTTAGAGAGATGGTAAAGTCTAATTTTTCTAATTGAAACCAAGAGCTATTACTAGGGTGGTTGTAGAATATATTTTATGGGGCTGGCGCTGTGGCATAGTGGGTAAAGCCTGAAGTGCCAGCATCCCATATGGACGCTGGTTGGAGTCCTGGATGCTCCACTTCTGATCCAGCTCTCTGCTAATGCACCTGGGAAAGCAACAGAAGATGGCTCAAGTACTGTAGGCCCCTGAACCCATGTGGGAGACATAGAAGAAACTTCTGGCTCCTGTCTTTGGATTGGCCTATCTCCAGGTATTGTGGTCATTTAGGGAGTGAACCATTGGATGGAAGATTTTCTCTCTCTCTCTTTTCTCTCTCCTTTTCTCTCTGTATTTCTGCTTTTCAAATAAATAAATCAATCTTAGGACATTCTTTCAATTTGACATTGTTTTTATTTTAAATTTTTTAAATTTATTTGACAGATAGAGTTAGACATTGAGAGAGAGAGACAGAGAGAAAGGTCTTCCTTCCGTTGGTTCACCCCCAAAATGGCTGCCAAGGCCGGGGCTATGCTGATCTGAAGCCAGGAGCCAGGTGATTCCTCCTGGTCTCCCATGTGAGTGCAGGGCCCGAACACTTGGGCCATCCTCCACTGCCTTCCTGGGCCACAGCAGAGAGCTGGACTGGAAGAGGAGCAGCCAGGACTAGAACCCAGTGCCCATATGGGATGCCAGTGCTGCAGGCAGAGGATTAACCAAGTGAGCCATGGTGCCGGCCCTCAATTTGATATTGTTACACTGGCCCCATGTTGGCAAGATTGCTTCTTAAAGAGAGGGTCAGAGTTTTATCTTTATTCCAGTGGTAGTTTTGTAGAAACAACTATTTTGTACTCAGGTTTAATTTTCTAACATAGCCTTCAATTGACAATTTAATGAAAATAACCAGTGCATCTTTTATAAGCAAGTCTAATAACAAAAAGAAGTGAGTCTTAGTATGCACATAGCATGGAGGAAAATGTAGTGGATGACAACGTATTCATTGTGAGGATTTGGCCTTAGCTTAAGTAATGCCTTGCAGACACAGTGGTGCTCACCATATTCCAAAGTTCCTGTGCATTTCCCAGCCTCCTCTGCTGTTAGGTTGGGGTCATGTGACTAGTTTTTTTTTTTTTTTTTTTTTGACAGGCAGAGTTAGAGAAAGAGAGAGATAGAGAGAAAGGTCTTCCTTCCGTTGGTTCACCCCCGAAATGGCCGCCAAGGCTGATGCGCTGCACCGATCCGAAGCCAGGAGCCAGGTGTTTCCTCCTGGTCTTCCATGTGGGTGCAGGGCACAAGGACCTGGGCCATCCTCCACTGCACTCTTGGGCCACAGCAGAAAGCTGGACTGGAAGAGGAGCAACCAGGACAGAACCGGTGCTCCAACGGGGATTAGAACCCTGAGTGCCGGCGCCAGCCCAGTGAGCGGCCGGCAGGGTCATGTGATTAGTACCAGCCAATAGAAACCAAAAGATGGTGTAAGATATTTTTATTTTGTCTTTCTCTACTATCTGAAAACCCAGAAGCCATTGCTGAATTAAAACATAAGACCCATAACTTGAGTCCTTGATAGACTGTGGAACTGAGTTCATTTCATTGCAGTATAACACTGAGAATTATTTTTTACTGGGGGTTAACATCTTACGTCAAACAATTTTGCCTTTCCTGACTAGTGATGGACATTTAACAAAAAAACAAAAAAGAGAGCCTTTTTTTTTTTTTAAAAAAAGGTTTATTTTATTTAAAGAAGAAAGTGACAGAGCAAGAGTGAGTTGGTGAAAGAGATCGTCCATTCACTGGTTCACTTCCTAAATGGCTGCAATGACTGGGGCTGGGTCAGGCCAAAGCCAGGAGCCCAGAGCTTCATTCTGGTCTCCTATGTGGGTGGCAGGGGCCCACACATCCGGGCCATTCTCCAGTGCCTTTCCAGACATATTAACAGGGAGTTGGATTGGCAGCAGAGCAGCTGGGACTTGAACCAGTGCTCCAGTATGGAATGCTGATGTCTCAGGTGGCAGCTTATCTTGCTGTGCCACAACCTGGCCCCAAGAAGAGAGTTCTTAAGTTATAGGGTTGGTTTATTGTGTCAATGGGAGTTAAGAGACTATATTTTTTGGGACTAGCATTGTGTCATAGTGGGTAAAGCTGTTGCCTGCAACATCAACAACCTATATGGGCTCCAGCTTGGGTACAGGCTTCTCCACTTCTGATTCAGCTTCCTGCTAATGGCCTGGGAAAATTGGCAGAAGATGGCCCAAGTGTTTGGGCCCCTGACACCACGCTGGAGATCCAGATGAGGGTCCTGGCTCCTGGCTTGGCCTGGCATAGCACTGGCTTTTGCAGCCATCTGGGGAGTGAACCAGAGGATGGACGATACCCTTCTTTCTGTCTTTCCCTCTCTTTCTCTAATTTTGACTTTGAAATCAATCAATCTAAAATATGAGACAGAATTTCTAAAAAAAATTTGTTTATTTATTTGAAAGGCAAAGTTATAAAGAGAGAGGGAGGAGAAAGAGAGAAAGAGAGGTCTCCCGTCCTGGAGAGTGGAGCAGTGGGGACTCAAACCGATGACCACATGGGATGCCAGCATTGCAAGTGGCAGCTTAATCCACTGTGCAGCATTGATGGCCCCTAAGAGACTGTGTTTTAATGAACATTTATTTGCTTATATCCACCGTAATGTGTGTGACTAAGACAGTGCTCCTGTAGCACATGCTGTCGTGTTTCATTTAGATTCCTCCTTTCAGGACTGAAGGTTTACTCACTCAGTGGGAATGTTGCCATCTGAAAGCCCTGCTTCCAAATTGCCTTAGGTGACAAGAGCTGCCTCAACCACTTACATAAAA